GTGTTCAGGGTACCCCCACTGGGCCCCCTTCTGTTTTGGAACTCCCGATGTTATGGGCAAGTTTTAGATTAGGTTTGGTGATGCGTTCTCCTTTCGCTTCCTTGACAAGCCGACTGGGACGGCACGTGGCGAGCTTAAACCCATCATGGACTCATGCATGTATCACAGCAAACGTAAGTATCCCAAACACCAAACATCCCCAGACCTGAAACCCTAGACTTGGAGCCCTGAGGAACCCCCAGCCCTCGACCTTAAAGTCCGGACTACGCTAAACCCCTAAACCCTCAGCCCTAAACCAAACCGGACTCTAAGCCCGAAGAGCTTTTCGAGCCCCAGAAATCCTAAACCCTAAACCCTAAACCCTAAACCCTAAGCCCTAGACCCTAAACCCTAAACCCTAAACCCTAAACCCTAAGCCCTGTACAACTGAAGGTTCTGCGGGACTTGCGACACGGTGGCACCCTGGCTCGAGGCGCTGGGCGAAACCCACGGAACAAAAACCCACAGATACATGAGTAAGGTTTGGTTTAGGGTTTAGGTTTTAGGTCTTAGGTGTTAGGGTAGTCCTCTAGATTCGGGTCCCTTTTGGGGGTCGGGGAGGGGGCCGGAGCGGCCAATCAGGTGGGGGCGGGTGGCAGGGCCAGGGGTGGGAAGCTACGGCCCACGGCCCCGGCACCCAAATCCTAAGCTCTAAAGCCTCTGTTAGGGCAACCATGATGATCAGAACAGGCTAACCAGAACACGCTTTCTAGTTCGATAGGTCGCTCACTTATCTGACACGAGTCTCTGGAACGTGAACTACCTCGGGGGTATAGCACGCGGTGTATGTTTAAGAATGGTTTGTGCTTCTGCGAGTTTGGGCTTAGGGCGTGTGTAGGGTTTAGGTGTTAGTGAGTTTCGAAGAAACTCTAAACCCTAAACCCTAAACCCTAAACCCTAAACCCTAAATTCGACTCCCAGTGCGATGCCCTTCAGAGCACCTCAGACGCCCAGCCTAGACCCTAAACCCGCAATGGGGATTTTCGATACCAGGGGTTTAGGGTTTGGTGTTTAGGGTTTCGGGTTCAGGGTTTAGGCCCTTCTAGGGAATCCTATTCATATGGAGTGTAGTCTATTGGGGTGAAAAACTTCTGAACCTTATCAGCTTAGGGTTTAGGATTTGTAGTTCGAGCCGCAACCAGGAGAAGGTCAGGGGCCACGTCAACCAGATGCAGACCATCCATGTGATCAGTGCCCAAGTCCCCAGTCTGAACCTCCACGACCACTTGCATGGAGGTGGCACGGAGACGAACCGTGGAATTTTCCTGGGGCTGCTTGATGCCGAGGACTACGAAACATCTCCCGCTGTGTGGCGCCTGCCTGTGAACCTAAACCCTAAACCCGAAGCCCGAAACCCTAAACCCTAAACCCTAAACCCTAAACCCTAAACCCTAAGTGCAAGATGGGGATCTTAGGATCTCACGGTGCAAAAATACTCCCAGTGGGAGGCAGGTGCTCAAGTGCGTCGTCAGACAGCGCATCGGAGCCAGCGGCGAAGGTGCTAAAAACCCGTGGCAAGAACGATGTGGAACCTCTCCTGTTCCATTCGCCACCACAGACGATGTTTCAGGAACTCCTGCACGGGTCTGATTGGGCTCGCTGTCTGGCGCCGGCTGGAGACGGTCGCCTGGCAGCGGCCTGTCTCGAAAAGCGTGTGCCATTCTTTGGGCTCACATTCTCAGAAGCCCACTCCACAGCACTTCTGCAACGCCTCGAGAGCCTCGTTTTCCCCTAAACCCACCCAAATTTCAACTGTGACGCCCAGTAGTACCCTTCAAAGCGCCACTGAGCAAAAGGGAAGCCTCTGATTCCCTGACTGAGGAGCCCTAAACCCTGGACCCTAAACCGCCCTAAACCCTAAACCAGCCTAAGCCTAAACCACCCTAAAACCCTAAACCACCCTAAACCCTAAACCACCGCCAACCCCAAGCCAAGCCCCAAACCCCAAACCGTAGACCCTAAACCCTAAACCCTAAACCCTAAACCCTAAACCCTAAACCCTAAACCCTATCCTAGCGAAAGAGGCGCCGGGGTGGCAGCGCTTTGCGGAATCCTCGGTGGGCCGAGCTCTCGGTGGGTTTTAGGATTCTAGGGTTCACCGCTCCTGTTTTAGGGTTCATTGTTTAGGGTTTAGGGTTTCGGGTTAGGGCTTATCCTGTCTGGTGTTTAGGCTTCTAGGGTCATCAGGCATGCAGGAGGGTTCACCGAGACTGCGAAGGGTTCTCCGAGCCTGCGAAGTGTTAGACCCAAGGGCGCAAGCTAGCCCTTGCATCATCGTGTGTTCCACTGGCGATGCGAAAGGCGTCCCAATGTCTAGTGCGGGCAGAGACCTCGGTCCGTTCGACTCTTCTTGGAGAGCAGCATGTGGACGCAGTCCGTGCGAACAGACTTAATATTCTGGGTGCAGCAAGCCTGGGAGCAGGATTTAGTGCATCCGGACCAGCCCGGTCGGCCCTGGACACTGAGGAATACTCCCTACAGTCATATAGCTGCCTTTACCAGTAGAATCTGAGCCCTGAAACAGACCATTAGGATTCTTAGCGCATAACAAGTTACTTGGACCCAGAGTAGGCCACTATTCCGTCTTTGCTGGACTTTAAACCAAAAAAAAGGCGCCCCCTTGTTTCTGGGCGAATCTGGTATCTACAAGATATCACCCTATGGATACCGGGCATGTTCCCTTGAAGCATAGCGGGGTCTCAGGAGGTTTAAGGCTTTAGGGCCTTTCGGGCTAGGACTGTTTTAGGGTCTTTAGGGCTTGGGCTTGGGTTTGTGTGTTGAGGGTCTTTTGAGCCTATCATTTGAGAGTTTAGGATTTAGGGGTTCGGGCTTAGGGTGTTCAGGGGTTGGCTTCGGGTTTGGGAGACCCTATATAAGCCCCAAGCCCCTCAACAGCTCTACAGTTTCGTACCTGGACGACCCTCAAACCGTAAAACCTTACCACCCAAACCCTAAACCCCTAAACCCTAAACCCTAAACTTTAAACCCTAAACCCTCAAACCCTCAAACCCTCAAACCCTCAAACCCTCAAACCCTCAAACCCTCAAACCCTCAAACCCTCAAACCCTCAAACCCTCAACCCCTCAAACCCTCAAACCCTCAAACCCTCAAACCCTCAAACCCTCAAACCCTCAAACCCTCAAACCCTCAAACCCTCAAACCCTCAAACCCTCAAACCCTCAAACCAAACCCTCAAACCCTCAAACCTAAAACCCTCAGCCAAAGCCCGAAGAGTGTGGCATGGCGGGAGCTCAGGGCGACCCCCTTGGCTCCCCTCGGGCCGCCACGGCTAAACCCCTCAACCCCTCAACCCCTCAACCCCTCAACCCCTCAACCGTAGACCCCTAAACCCAAAACCCTAACCCTAAACCCTAAACCCTAATCCCTAAACCCTACACCCTAAACCCTAAACCCTAAACCTAGCCCTAAACCCGCAACCCTTAAACCCCAACTGTCTGAGGTCTCCACTACCTACCAGGCGGGCATGAGTTCATGCAGGACCCGTCGGGCGCAAGTTTTGAGGGCGGGTGGGGGGGGGGGGGAGGTGGCTAAACCCTAAACCCTAAACCCTAAACCCTAAACCCTAAACCCTAAACCCTAAACCCTAAACCCTAAACCCTAAACCCTAAACCCTAAACCCTATAGGGTAAAATAGGGTGCAGGTTGGCTTAGGGTTGAGGGTTCGTGAATTTTGGGGTTAGCGTGTTAAGGATTTACAGGGTTTATAGGGTTGAAGGGGTTGCAGGGATTGGGGGAGGCTCAGGGTTTGGGGGTTTGGGGTTCAGTTCGGGTTCGGCGGTTGAGCGGCTTGAGAGCTGAAGGGTTCACGGGTCTAAGGTTCCTGGTTGGTTCTTCACTCCCTCAAGACCCGGATGAATAGAAATTGTATGTGATATCATGTTCAATTTACAAAGTTGTTTGTCGAAACAAGCTGGCACCACACAAAGCCCCGCCCCAAATAGAATCCAAAACGCCCCTGGAGGCAAATTGTTCAGGTCTTAAAAGGCTCCAAAAACTCCACTTAAACAAGGCTTCAAAGGCCTTAAGAGGATTCCTTCAAATGGATCAAACCACGAACCAGAGAAGAACAAAAAACTTTCGCCCAACACTGTCGCCCTAAACCGCCTAAACCCGTCCAAAACTCCGGACCTGAGCCCCGACCCCGAAACCCTAAACTCTAATCCCTAAACCCTAAACTCTAAACCCCTAAACTCTAAACCCCTAAACCCCTAAACCCCTACACCCTGAGATGGCCCACAACAGGCTTTTCAGGAGGCCCCAAAAGGTGCAAAAGAGGCCCCCAACGACCCTGGCAGGCCCCAAAACGCCAAAAGACCCGGGAGGCCCCCAAAAGACCCCCCCCTCCGGACACAAACCCTATCTATCTCCAGAGCAAAAAACAAAATGTTCGCCCAAAACTCCGGACACAAACCCTATACAATTTCCATAAGCCCTAAACCCTAACCCCCTCGTCCGGGGTGGGTGGTGACCGGAGCTTTGGTCTTCACCCCTCTACTCCGAGAGCACAGCGACAGGGACCTGTTTGCAGGTGAATGGCCCGAGCCTGCCATTCCCCTTTTCACAGGAAACGGTGGTGAATGAGTGAGTCCCCGGAGCGCATGGGTCGCGTTGTGCACGTAGTATCCATAGAGGGATCTACGGAGAAGTGTGCCTGCTGATTTAGCACGCGGCTGCGCATTGCCCATCGCAGAGGCGATGTTGTCTGCCTGGCGTAGTACCTTGAAGATGGATCTTCGGGGGAAGTGCTTTTTTTGCATGGGCCTCAGCGAGGATGGCACGCTGTCTTGCCTTTATGCCGGTTTTCCGGTGGCGGGCCTGCCTAGTTGTGGTTCCGTGCAAAATGGTGGACAAACCCTCTTGCTTGACCGGGCTTGCCGACCTCAGAGCGTTGTCTTGGGGTTGGGGCACGTGCCGGACGTGAACTCCAAGTGGAGGGGGCAATGACGGTTGCGGAGCTCCCGAGGAAGCCGGGAGGGAACAGCGCCAAAGGCAAGGCTGCTGCACGTGCCACCTCGTGCAGTGAGCCAGCACTCACTCACTCACTCACCCTAAACCCTAAACTTAAACCCTGTTAAGTTGCAAGTGCTTTTGCCCGACTTACAACCCTACTTGTAGCCACTCATGTGCCTTGAAGTCACAGGCGGGGTCCCTAAACCCTAAACCCGAAACCTTAAACCCTAAACCCTAAACCCTAATTAAACCCCAAACCCTAAACCCTAAGGAGCAGCGGGCCAACATCTTCGCCACGTGGCGCCGAACGCTCAGCGAAGTCAGTTGCACCTGAACCCTGTGTTGATGCTAAGCCCTGAAAACCCTAACCCTAAACCCTAAACCTTGAATCCCCAACGAACCCAACCAGGGGCCGCGAATCCCTACCTGCAGACCCTCTCAACCCTAAACCCTAAACATCGGCACAAAGCCATGATCCCCCAACATCCCGAAACCTGAAAGCAAGTTGTTTTTGCCATTGCCGAAGATCGGCCTGGGACATCTGGCATGGAAAACTTCGCACCGTGCTAGACAATGTCCTCAAGCTCAACCTAGTAGTAGAGTGGGTAACCTTTAACCTTTTTGGGGTAATAGAATCCCCTTATAATCCCAAAGGTTAACCTTTAGTTCCCCCAGGTTACTGGACAACTAAGTCAAGTTCTTGGACAGTGCAAGCTGGAAGGAGACCTCGACCCCTAAAACCCTAAACCCTAAGCCCCAAACTCTGCCTTGGACCCCTTTAAAGGGTTCTGAAGCATGCCCCGTATCAGGGCCCATGCTACCCTAAGATACTTGCAGTAGAAAACGACTTCATGCCCAAGATGTTTAGGATTTAGGGTTTAGGGTTTAGGGTTTAGGGTTTGGGTTTAGAGAACTCTATCTAAACCCGATGAGGTTGAGGTGTGCTTGGTCAAGCGCGCTTGCCTCGACCATTTGCGAACCCTACTTTGTGGTGCTTTACTGTAACTTTAGATCTTTAGCCTTTTTGGGTTTATTGTGTTTCTTAAGAAGGCAGCTAAAAATTTAATTTATAGCTACCCTCCTAAGTGCAGCCAAGAGCCGAACCCCGAAGACATAACATTGTTCCTGTGTTGCTTGCAATCACTGGGGAGAAAGGGAAACGAGACGTCGTAACATTCAGCGGTCACACTGGGGATTTGCATGTTCTAGACATGTGACTGAAAGCAATTTGCTGGTTTTCTTTTGCCAGAAGCCATGTTGGTGGGGGGCTCGTGGGCTGCTGGTTGTGACAGGAGTCGGACCCTAAACTCCAAGTTGTAAACCCTCTGCTTGGCTTTGAAAAACAGACAGAATCTGTAGACAGCCACCAATCGCACGTTGGGGTATGGCCAGCCGTATCGCCGTGGTATCGCCGCACGTATCGCCGAACCCCAAACCCCAAAACCCTCAACCCTAAACGTGGAGCGCGCAAGGCTGCACAAAACAATGCGGTTGATTGCTGTGTCACCAGCGGTTCACGGTGGGGAAAGCGAAGTGTTGTGAGTTCCGACTAGTGGTTTTCCGTGCAGAAAGGACCTATCGCACACTTGTTTCGTGTGCTTGACTCCCAGCGGTTCATTGGGGTGAAAACCAAATGTTATGACTTCCGAGAAATATGTAGGTATAGTTACCTTACTTATAACGCCGCTTACTAAGATCGCTCAAGTAATCCCTCTAATTACCCTATAGACCCTAAACCCCAAAACCTCTAAACCCTAAACCCTAAACCCTAGTACTAAAACCCTAAACCCTAAACCCTAAACCCTAAACCCTAAACCCTAAACCCTAAACCCTAAACCCTAAACCCTAAACCCTAAACCCTAAACCCTAAACCCTAAACCCTAAACCCTAAACCCTAAACCCTAAACCCTAAACCCTAAACCCTAAACCCTAAACCCTAAACCCTAAACCCTAAACCCTAAACCCTAAACCCTAAACCCTAAACCCTAAACCCTAAACCCTAAACCCTAGACCAGGCCGCGACGCGCTAGGCCGGTTGGTGCAGCGTCGCTCAGCAGAGGTTCCGGCCGCGGTGTGAGTGCAGGTTTTGGCAATTTGGGGTTTAGGGTTTAGGGGTTTAGGGGTTTAGGGGTTTAGGGGTTTAGGGGTTTAGGGGTTTAGGGGTTTAGGGGTTTAGGGGTTTAGGGGTTTAAAGGTTTAGGGGTTTAAGGGTTTAGGGGTTTAGGGGTTTAGGGGTTTAGGGGTTTAGGGGTTTAGGGGTTTAGGGGTTCAGGGGTTTAGGGGTTTAGGGTTCGAGGTTACGAAATCTTTGAGTCTCGGCTCTTTCCGGGCTTGCAGGGCTCACAGGCTTTAAGGTCGCATGTTTAAGCCTTTCGCCTCCTGATAGTGCCTTGAAGTCCAGTGGTTGACAAAAATCAGGGACCCCTAGAATAGAGCCTAAAATAGTAGGACTCCATAAATACCCCCAAAAAGATACCCCTAATTTTGGAAACCCCTAAGTAGTTTTTGAAATCGACGCTCTTTCAGCCCTCCTGGCCCCGGCGACGTGAAAGTATTTACAAACCACGTTGCCCGTTTCAGAATCTTCAACCCTTTGACGGCCGCAGGCCGTCTGGGGCGCGGGTACCAAGCGTGCATACATTTTTTATATGTATATATATATATATATTTATATGTGTGTATATTGTTTAGGGTTTAGGGTTTAGCTTTAGGGTTTAGGGTTGAGGCTTGAGGCTTGAGGCTTGATTCGGAATGGTAAAGTTCTGGCAGGCAGACAAGGTCTTCCAGCAGTGGCGAGATCTGTATGACTTCCTCGACAGTGCGGTGCAACGACTGCAGGGCAACCCCAGTCGGCTGGGAAACATCCCCGTGAGGCTACTTGCGACGAGAATGTCGCACCTACACACAGAGGCGTATCCGCGCCTGCGTGACGCTCGGGAGACTCTGTTGGAGCAGCTGCAGGTAGTCGGCATGACCGCAGCGCTCATAGCCAAGACCTCCGGCGAAATCCATGAGTGGATGGCACGAGTGAACGGCGATTTAGGGTTTCGGGTCTTAGGGCTTTTAGGAGTTTAGGATTTTAGGGTTTAGGGCTCAGGGTTTTCGGGTTTCAGGGTTTTAAGGTTTAGGGTTCAAGGTTTACCCGGGACCCTGGCACCCCTAGGCATCTACACTCCCAACCCCACCAAGACCTAAACCCTACCTCATAGCCCAGAGACACTTTTTTTGAACCCCAAACCCTAAACCCTAAACCCTAAACCCTAAACCCTAGAGGGCTTAGGTCCGGTGAGAGGGCTTTTGGGGCCCTAGGGTCGGGTGTTTAGGCTTTGTAGGGCCTCTAGGGTTTAGGGTTTAGGGTTTAGGGTTTAGGGTTTAGGGTTTAGGGTTTAGGGTTTAGGGTTTAGGGTTTAGGGTTTAGCGAGTTCAGGTTTTGTAGGGTTCAGAGTCTAGGTTTTCTGGGTTTGTGGGCTTTAGAGGGTTTAGAGTTTAGGCTGTATCGGGTAGGGTTTATATGGTTCAGAGGTCAGGGTTTACTCGGTTTATAGGTTTAGGATCTACAGCCTTTGCAGGGTTTAGAGTTGAGGTTGAAAAATGTTAGCTAGAGTTCAGTCTTGGGGTTGGAGGTGTAGGGTTCAAATTCACGACTACGTTTGGGTTCCTAAAATCTGTTGCTTGAAGCTCCCCAAACCCTAAAACCTTAACCGTGAAAACAACAACCTCAGCCCCTAAACCCTAAGCCCTTAGCCCAAAACCCTAAACTCTAAACCCTAAACACTAAACCCTAAACCCTAAACCCTATGTAGGCCCTAAACCCAAATTGAACCCTAAACCCTAGACCCTAATTAAACCTTATACCCGAAACCCTAAACCCTAAGACCTCAACCCTAAAACCCTCAACCCTAAAACCGCAAACCCTAAACCCTAAACCCTAAACCCTAAACCCTAAACCCTAAACCCTAAACCCTAAACCCTAAACCCTAAACCCTAAACCACAAACCCTAAACCCTAAACCCTAAACCCTAAACCCTAAACCCTACACCCTAAACCCTAAACCCTAAACCCTAAACCCTTAACCCTTAACCCTTAACCCTTAACCCTAAACCCTAAACCCTAAACCCTAAGCCTTACAGAAAGCAACCTTTCAAGCCCCTTGGCGTGGAGGCCGCCTTGCTCGCGGCCCAGTCATTTGCAGCGCCTGGCAAGTCGCTTCATCCAGGCGCGCTCGGGGTTTTAAGGGTTTAGGGTTTAGGGTTTGCGGTTTTGGGGTTGAGGGTTCAGGGTTTGAGGGTTTTAGGGTTTAGGGTTTTTGGGGTTTAGGGTCTTGTTTTTTTTTTTTTTTTTGGGGGGGGGGGGGGTAGGGTTTAAGGGCTTCGGGTTTTAGGGGGTCTTAGGGTATTTAGGGTTTAGTAGGTTCAGGGTTTCAGGGCTCAGGGTTTAGGGGTTTAGGGTTTGGGGTTTGGGGTTTAGGGTTTAGGGTTTAGGGCGTTAGATTGGGAAGTTTGTTGTTTTTGGCTTTGCCGCGCAGCCAAAGCATGGTTTCGGGCTTGCAGGTTTTCATAAGTTTGGGGTTTAGGGTTTAGGGTTCAGTGTTATGGGGTTGGATAAGGGTGTGAAGGAGTTTGGGCTTGTAGAGTTTACAGGATTATAGCCTTGCTGCCCAGCAAAGACGCTGCCGCGGTTGTGATCCCCTCATTGGTTGGCCATCTCGCAGCTAACTTCAACAGCCTGGCCAACTGTGTGAATTAGGGGGTTTAGGCTCTAGTGTTTAGGGATTTGTGGTGTGGGTTTGGGGTTGCAGCTTTGGTGTTAACGGTCCTTTCTTCGTAGGCTTGTTCTTGTTGTTTCATGCACCTCAATTATCGGGTTCTTAGGCTACAAAGTAGAGGTTCTTACGCAAAGTCCTAAACCCTAAACCCTAAACACTAAACCCTAAACCCTAAACCCTACACCCCAAACCCTAAACCCTAAACCCTAAACCCTAAACCCTAAACCCTAAACCCTAAACCCTAAACCCTAAACCCTAAACCCTAAACCCTAAACCCTAAACCCTAAACCCTAAACCCTAAACCCTAAACCCTAAACCCTAAATCCTAACCCTAAACCCTAAACCCTAAACCCTAAACCCTAAACCCTAAACCCTAAACCCTAAACCCTAAACCCTAAACCCTAAACCCTAAACCCAAACCTTATCTGTTTTTCGGGCTGGGGTGTTGGCCCTGTTAGGGATGGCAGAGAAACATGCGGACATGCCCCAAAATGCTTTACAGCACCCTAAGGCTTCAAACCCCTAAAATTTGGCCTTAAATCCTTTAAAGTACCCTAAGCCTTGGTTTAGGGTTTAGGGTTTAGGGTTTGGCCTTAAATCCTATCTGTAAACCTTAGTTCCCAAAACCCAAATTAGTTTAGAAAGGCCCCTAGAAATAGTCTTAAGTAACCTGCACGAAAAAGGTTTCTAGGTAGATCCCTAGAGACAGAAAGTCCGAAAACCTGAGCCCAAATCCCCTACAACCTTAAACCCTATCCAGCCCAAACCGAAGAGCCCTGGATTCCACTGGATTTGCAGCCCATTGGCTATCTTCCCCGAAGACCTGCCCCGCAGGAGTTGTTCGTGGTTTTGGAGGACCAAATAGGTGAGAAAGGTTTCTAAGGTTAAAGGTTTAGGGTTTAAGGTTTAAGGTTTCGGGTTTAGGGTTTCGAGTTTAGGGTTCAAGGGTTTAGGGTTCAGGGTGTAGGGTTTAGGGTTTAGAGGCGCTTGGCCCAACGCGATGACGATATTCCGACTTGGGCAGTGCTCTGGACACAACCAAGAACACCCAACTAAGGACCTTAAACCCTAAACCCTAAACCCTAAACCCTCAACCCTCAACCCTAAACCCTAAACCCTAAACCCTACCCCACTCTGCTCCAGCAGGTTTCAGCCCTGCTGCGCTACTGACAGGCCCCGCCAAGTGGGAAGAAACAAAGGGTTTTGAGGGCTTTCGCGGGTTTAGGGGTTTAGGAGGGTTTAGGGTTTAGGGTTTAGGGTTTAGGAGGGTTTGGGTTTTCCGAGTGTAGGCTTGTAGGGTTTAGGCTTATTAGAGAATTGCCATGTCGCATCTATCATCTGGGGTACAGGGGGGTTTGACGGATTAGTTTTGGGGAGAGGGCTGGGATGTGAATCCTTCGTTCACCCTGAGCCCGAACTCTTTGGCTTACGGAAATTGTGAGGGGACTTAGTAAGTGGGATTACAAGAAAGGCAACCATGCTTATAATTGCCTATACCCCCAAGGAAGGTACTTCTATTCCTACTTCTTAGGCACTTTCCGATCCTCCAAGTAAGGTTCGGGACCCTCCAGCCAAAACCCTAAACCCAAACCCTAAGCCCTAAACCCTAAACCCTTATAAATTATGAACCCTAAACCCTAAACCCTAAACCCTAAACCCTAAACCCTATTAGCCCTAAGCTCCCCGAGGCACTGGCGGCAGCAGCAGTAGCCGGAGTAAGGCCAAGGAGGACGCGCCTTTGCCCCTCTACGCCGTGCCGAGGGCTTAGCCAGATCAGCTAGTGGGGTTTGGGGGGTTGGGGTGTTGGGGTGTTGGGGCCCTAAAACCTAAACCCTAAACCCTAAACCCTAAACCCTAAACCCTAAACCCTAAACCCTAAACCCTAAACCCTAAACCCTAAACCCTAAACCCTGAACCCTGAACCCTGAACCCTGAACCCTGAACCCTGAACCCTGAACCCTGAACCCTGAACCCTGAACCCTAAACCCTAAACCCTAAACCCTAAACCCAAACCAGAAACCCTAAACCCTAAAGCCTAAACGCTTTTCTGTCATAGGGTATAGGGTATAGGGTTTTGGGGCTTGATAAGCTTCAAGGCATCGAGAATCCCATCTCGCCACGGCTGCACCATGGGTTCGCTTATTGTAATTCTCATGTGGCCCAAGGGGCTCTTCAAAGATTTAGGGTTTAGGGTTTAAGGTTTAGGGTTTAGGGTTTAAGGTTTAGGGTTTAAGGTTGATACGGAGGTTGAGAATGAGGTTTACGGGTGATCATAGGGTTTAGGGTTAAGGGTTTAATTAGGGTTCAGGGTTCGAGCTTGATAATGTGGTTTAGGGTTTAGGGTTTGGGGTTCAGGTTTCGGGTTGAGGGTTTATAAGGTTTGGATCCTGAAGCGGCGCCCAAACCCAAGGGTACCGGGGTCGAAGGCAGGCTCTTCTGGAAAATCAGGTTTTGTCCTGCACGCCCTCGTCCTGCAATCCTCGACGCCCCGGCACTCTAAACTCACCAAGCCCTAAACCCGCCTACATCCCTAAAACCCTAAACCCTAAACCCTACACCCTAAACCCTAAACCCTAAACCCTAAACCCTAAACCCTAGGGACTGATAGGGCATCTTGCCCTAACGCTTTCGAGCCTGCTCCATGGCCCCACATCGCAGACATAGCGTGAAGAAGTCGGAGACTGACAAGGAGAAGATGAGCCCTCACTGCCATGACGGACGACGGCATGAGGTTAGGGTTTAGGGTTTAGGGTTTAGGGTTTAGGGTTTAGGGTTTAGGGTTTAGGGTTTAGGGTTTTAGGGTCCAATCTACTAGGAATGTTGGAAGGCAAGCCAGAGCTCGCTGCCCGCGTCCTGGAGCTCATGATGCGAACGGCATGCTCACCAGCCCATGAGGGTTTAGGGTTTAGGGTTTAGGGTTTAGGGTTTAGGGAGCAGCGGCTGGGCGTGACGATGCCATCGGACCCACGCCTCCTTGGCTGCATTGAAGTTCTTGCGCAGCCTTTACCCTCCAATATAGTCCCAAAGGATCCATGTACCTATATAGTATATACTTGGGCCTTAAAGGGTTCCTATATCGTAGCTTTAGGGCCCAAGTATATACTATATAGGTACATGGATCCTTCGGGAGTGTACCCCCCCCCATTGAAATTGTTATCTGGACTTGTGCACCGCAGTGGGGCTTCCTAGAAGGCGGGTCCAGAAAGCCTTTCCTGGTGGCTTGTGCTGAGGGTCGTGTAAACCCTAACCCTAAACCCGAAACCCCACATCCCTAAACCCTAAACCCTAAACTCTAGATCCCTACACCCTAAATCCCTAGACCCTAAGTCCCTGAACCCTGACAACCCCGAAAACCCTACATCCCTAAACCCTAAACCCTAACTCCCTACACTCTAAGTCCGTAAACCCGATCCCCCGAAACCCTAAACCCTAAACCCTAATCCCCAAGCCCCCTTCTGTGCGGAGGCGCTGGCACCAGTCTTCGCCGGCGGACAGAAAGCCCGAAGACGGAGCAGGCCGGAGTTTAGGGTTTAGGGTTTAGGGTTCTTGGTTTTAGGATTCTAGGGTTTAGGGTTTTGGGGTTTAGGGTTTGTGGGTTTAGGGTTTTAGGGCTTAGGGTTTATAGAAATTGTATAGGGTTTGAGTCCCAATAACGTTTTGACCGAAAGTTTTGAACGACACGTTTTGAAAGAAACGTTTTGACCGAAAGTTTTGAAGAAAACTTTTTGTTTTTTTGGACCTGTGTTTTTTTGTTCATCATTTTTTGGGGGTGGGGAGGGAGGGGGAGGGGGGGAAGGGGGGAGGGGAGGGGGGGAAGGGGGGAGGGGAGGTGGGGAGGGGGGCTCTGAAAGTTTTCAAATGGGCCTCGCAGAGGTGGTTTGGATGAATCTACTTAAACTCAGCTTAGACAAATGTCATGGGAAATTCAGAATGAGACCACATGCAATTTCTATGTATGTTGTCTTGAGGGTTTAGGGTTTGGGGTTTAAAGGTTTTTGGTTTTAGGGTTTAGGGTTTAGGGCTTTTGGGTTTACGTTTTTTAGGTTTTAGGGTTTAGGGTTTTAGGATTTGGGGTTGAGGGTTTTAGGGTTTGGGGTTCCCTCCGCTTGCGCTCCGACGGTCAAAAATTGTTAAGGGGCGCGTGCCTCGCAATACAATTATTAGCACGCTCTTTGCCCGAATGAACAAGAGTAGTATACCAAAAGGGGTTTCAAGTCCGAGATGGACGCTAGTACTAGTTCGCAACTGCCCATGCACTACAAAGCTCCCCCAAGCCCCAAAATCCTAACCCTAAACCCTAAACCCTACACCCTTAACCGTAAACCCTAAACCCTAAACCCTAAACCCTAAACCCTAAACCCTAAACCCTAAACCCTAAACCCTAAACCCTAAACCCTAAACCCTAAACCCTAAACCCTAAACCCTAAACCCTAAACCCTAAACCCTAAACCCTAAACCCTATGTCAGGGGAGAAGCCGCCTGCAGTACTGAAGCTGACTTCGGCTCCATTGGCTGAAGGCGCGGGAGGTTTAGGGCTGGTTTAGGGTTTAGGGTTTAGGGTTTAGGGTTTAGGGTTGAAGGTTTGGGGTTTAGGATTCGGGGTTTAGGGCTTGTTTTTGAGTTTTTCATTTTTGGTTGTAGGGTTTTAGGCCTATAAGGGTCTTAGAGTTTAGGGTATAGGGTTCGGGGTTTAGGGTTCTTGGGTGCCAGGGTTTTTTTGGTTTCTGGTTTTTGGTCATAGACCCAAAAACTCAAAACCCCAAGCAGTTGCGTCCCAAAAAGGTTTCCCGCAAGATGCTCCAAATGCAGCCGACCTTAATAAGAAACGCCAAACCTACAAACCCAAAGCCTTATAGATCCAAGCCCCTAACCCTACTTCGCTTGCGTTTCAGGCATCTTCCGCAGACTGCCTGCGAACACCGAGCGCAACGACTCGGCCGTGCTCACTGCCGTCGCAGAGCTTCTACAATATCAGATGGCAGTGAGCGTGTCTTCCTGGACTTTTGCCAGAATGCCTGCGTGTGTAACCGCGGCGACTCTTTACTGAAGGCAAGAAGAGCACAGGACGGCGATGAAGTTCCTGCGTGGGACTTGCCGACGAGAAGCTTGTCAGCTACATGATCGAATGGTGCGACAGCCCGATGAAACGCCAAGCCGGTTGCCGTTACGTCGATTGCTGCGTCATCTATCCCGATGCTGGCAAAGCCACGCAGGCTCTGCCCATCTGAAAACCTTTGCTAGTCAGTCAAGTATCTCCGCACCTGTGCATGAGCCCCAGGTACCTCGCGCTGATGCCCAGAACATCTACGTCCGAATACCACATCAATTGAATGGCGCATGTCCGGATCACGTGATGGATCGCGTCACCAAGTTCTACCGCCAAACCTTTTGGACAAACATCGACGCCTTCAAATGCTGTCAAGCTGCACAAGTGACTCGGCGGCTTCCAGATGAGCGTAGGATGCGATTATCCTCCATAAAGCTGCTCTCTGCTTGCTTCCGTGTGTCAAGTTGAGGCTCTGGCAAAAAGAGGCTTAAACGTGGTGCGAATCTTCATAGGCCTGTCGTCCGGCGGTGTTGGCCAGTCCTTATATTCGGTGCATTTGGAGGCTTGAACTTTACCTTTGCTTCTTGTAGAAGGCTTGCAAGTTGCGATGCCTGCGTGTTCTCTGCAGGCGATGTACGGACACAACTTTGCGTACTTCGACCCCAACATTTGGTACAATGAGGACGAGATGCGTAAACAGGTAGAACAGCTGAATGGCTGTTTCATCCTTACAGGCAAGTTGATGTCTGCAAGTTGGGGGAGCGTGCGACGCCACTTGATTTTTCTTAGGATGTCGTCCTGCAGGCCAAGAGACGCCAGGCACGAATCGAAGACTTCGCGAAGACCTGTATAAAAAATTCATGTCGGGCGAAGGTCTCTTGCTTCAATCTTCTGCAGCACGACGAGCCAGTTTTAATAGGTGAGTGGACGTGGACAGCGTGTTGCTATCCAAGGCATTTCTGGACGGAAGCCGTATGGCTTGCGCACACGCATGATAAGATGTATAGCTTGGAAGAGGCTGGAGACGAATCGCATCTTCAGTATTGCCAACGTCACCAAGAAGGAGTTCAACTCGATCATGCCCAATTATGGCTGTACTATGGGCTCATAAGTGAGTGATCAGCAAGGTTCTGAAGATATAACTGGTTCATAAGCGCCGTGAACCTCCGAGTAAGCCCCTATCCTATGAGCCCTACAACCCTAAAGCCCCCCCCCCCCCGAACGCCATAGACCCTAGCCACCTTAGCCCTATGAGTAATTCAGCCCCAAACCTCTATGACCTAAAACCCTAGAACCCTAAAACCCTAAAACGGCTAAAGCCCTAAAGCCCCAAAACTACAACCCTAAGCCTAAGCCCTATGAAGCCCTAGAACGCTAAGCCCTAAACCCTAAACCCCAAACCCTAAACCCTAAACCCTAAACCCTAAACCCTAAACCCTAAACCCTAACCCTAACCCTAGCCCTAAACCCCAAATCCTGAACCTCAACCACGGCATCATCAGTCCGGAAGATGACATTCTCGGTCTTGGGCTAGTGTCGGAGATGCGCAGGGTGTAGTCCTTTAATGTGGGTTCGAGGAACTCTAATTATGGGGTTCTGAAGGGAGGGGGGTTTCCTTGGGGGCACCTTAGGGAAGCTTAGGGAGCCTTAGGGAGTAGTAAGGAGTATTAGGGAACCTTGGGTTACATATCCCCCTTGAACCCCTCGCCCCTAAGAACCCTAGAAACTAAACCCTAAGGTCAGGCTCTCGTCTTGCTCTGGTGGTTCCGGTAGGCGGCGCAAGGAGAATTAGAGGGTTTAGGGGAGCACATAACCCTGAACCCTAAACCCTAAACCCTAAACCCTCAGCCCTAAACCCTAAACTAAACCCTAAACCCACATGGGCCTCAGGATTGAGTGGCTTCGGGATGGGGGATTTGGGGTTGGAGGCCCTTGTGCTGTCGTGCTGTGCCAGTCCCAACTCCTGCCTCAAGACCCTATTATCTTGTATAAGGCGGGACCCTTGATCTTGTTCCCTATATAACCCCTTATATATATAAATATATATACCTTATATCGTCCGTATACACCTAAGTAGCCCCCGAATAACCCTAAACCCTCCCTAAACCCCTACGGTCCTTTATACAAGGTCCCTCCTTTAGCCTCAAGACCCTAGAGGTCCGAAGTCCGAAACATGCCCCAAGCCCCCCAAAAGTAGGCGGACTCTTGCGTAGGGTTTAGGGTTGAGGGCTTAGGGTTCGTAAACCCTAAACCCCAAACCCTAATCCCTAAACTGTTGGGTTGAGGGTTTAGGGTTCCTAAACCCTAAACCCTAAACTCTAGGGTTGAGGGTTTAGGGTTCTTAAACCCTAAACCCCAAACCCTAATCCCTAAACCCTAAGCTTTAGGGTTGAAGGTTTAGGGTTTGTGAACCCTAAAACCGAAACCCGTTTAGGGCTCCTAAACCCTACACCCGAAACATCAGGGTTGAGGGTTTAGGGTTCCTAAAACCCTAAACCCTAAACCCTAAACCCTAAACCCCTAATCCAGCTGCAGGCGACTTGCAAAGGGCACTGGAAGCTGCTAGGGCCGGTGCTCAGATAGCTCCTCGGCATATTGCTCACTTAGGATTTGGAAGTTTCCAGGTTTGTTGGGTTTAGGGTTTAGGGTTTAGGGTTTAGGGTTTAGGGTTTAGGGTTTAGGGTTTAGGGTTTAGGGTTTAGGGTTTAGGGTTTAGGGTTTAGGGTTTAGGGTTTAGGGTTTAGGGTTTAGGGTTTAGGGTTTAGGTTTCTTTTTTTGGTTGGGGGAGGGGGGGGGGGCTGGGCTGTTGAGCCTTTACGTTCTATGGCTCGGAGGGGTTGGGACTTTGGTTGAGAGCCACGACTGCAACTGAATTCCCGAAACACTGATCCATAACAAGCTACCAAGCCCTACGCAATCTCATCTCTGAATCCTGCCTTACACCAGGTTTAGGGTTTAGGGTTTAGGGTGTAGGGTTTAGGGTTAGCTCTACATCCTGGGCTAGGTTTTATGGGCCTGAACACAGGTTCCTTGGGGGGGGGGGGGGGTGGCGAGTGGAACTTCATTGCCCAGCTTCACTCCGGAATGTTGGGTTTAAGGTTCAGAATTTAGGGCTTAAGGTTTAGGATTTGTAAGGTTTATGAGGTTTATAAGGTTTATCAGGTTTTGGGTTCAGGGTTCAAGTGCTTCGTGCTTATCTTGAGTGGTTCTTTGCAGAAGCTGGGTTGCACAACGTGGACGTGCCGTGTCTAATAGTGAGGCTTCAGGTTAAGAGGGTCTACAGTGCATGAAGTACATGGGGCAGTAGCGTTTAGAGTTTGTAGGCTTAGGGCTTAGGGCTCCCGAATAAACACCTAAACCCTGAACCCCTCAACCCTGTAGGCTATAGGGCTTAGGGGTTGAGGGGAAGGTTGAGGGCTTCTCCAATTAAGGGGTATAAGAAGGGACCCTTCATCTTGTTCCCCTATATGCCCCTATATAGTCCCTATGTAGCCCAAGTAACCCCTAATTAACCCGTAAGGTCCCTTATAAGGGTCCCTCCTTGAGCCCCGCTAAACCCTAAACCCTCAACCCTCAACCCTCAACCCTAAACCCTCAACCCTCAACCCTCAACCCTCAACCCTCAACCCTCAACCCTAAACCCTAAACCCTAAACCCTAAACCCTAAACCCTAAACCCTAAACCCTAAACCCTATACTATACCCTATACTATACCTTCCATCCAAGATTTGAGGTGGCTGCGGCGCTGCCCACACCTGGCGCCTTCTGCAGCCAAGAGGAGAATGGGGGCAGGCGTTTGAAGGCTCAGGGTTTAGGGTTTAGGGTTTAGAGTTTAGGGTTTAGGGTTTAGGGTTTAGGGTTCAGGGTTTAGGGTTCAGGGTTTAGGGTTTAGGGTTTAGGGTTAGCAGATCTCCTGAGCCTTCGCTCCTTCAGTGTTGAGCTAAGCTCCAGACCCAAGGGACCCCCTTATCTTATGCCCTACCCTCAACCCCAAACCCTAAACCCTAAACCATAAACCCTAAACCCTAAACCCTAATCTTATGCCCTGCCCTAAGCGCGAAAATCCTTCAGAACCCTGGGATGCTCCGGATTACCTTCTATTGTTTGTCTGGAGCTTAGCTCAACACGAAAGCACCGAAGGCGCAGGAGATCCGCGAACCCTAAACCCTAAACCCCAAACCCCAAACCCCAAACCCCAAACCCTAAACCCTAAACCCTAAACCCTAAACCCTAAACCCTAAACCCTAAACCCTAAACCCTAAACCCTAAACCCTAAACCCTAAACCCTACCAGGATGAAGTGAGCTTGGGCTGGCGCTTCGTACAGCTCATCCAGCGCTTGCCCTGGCTGGGGTTTAGGTCGTTTGGGACCCGTACTTAAATAGTCTTTTGTTAGGGTTTAGGGTTTAGGGTTTAGGGTTTAGGGTTTAGGGTTTTGGGGTTCTTAGCCTGGTTTGAGAGTCTTTGGGGTATTTTCAGGGTTTAGGGTTTGGGGTTTAGGGTTTAGGGTTTTGGGACTCTTTTAGCGTGGTTTGAGAGTCTTTAGGGTATTTCAGGGTTTGGGTTTGGGGTTTAGGGTTTAGGGTTTAGGGACTCCTAGCGTGGTTTGGGAGTCTTTGGGGTGTTTTCAGGGTTTAGGGTTTGGTGCTTAGGGTTTAGGGTTTCGGGCTTTGGGATTCTTAGCGTGGTTTGAGAGTCTTTAGGTTATTTTCAGGGTTTAGGGTTTCGGGTTTAAGGTTTCGGGTTTTCAAAGGGTTTAGGTCGCTTAGGATTCTTAGCGTGGGTTTCTGTAGCGGGTTTCAAGACTGTAGTTTAGGGATTTTGGGTTGTTCCTTGTTTTGAGTCTTTTGTGGGGGGTAGGGTGTTGAGGGTTCTTAAGGTTTAGGGATTTGCCTGCTTTTGGTCTTGCTCAGAAGCTTTGGGTACTGTGCCCAGAAGAGGACCACCATGCAAACTTGTTGGGGTTTGAGCCCCTAAGCTCAACCCGAATATCCCTAAAAAAACTAAATACTAAATACCCTACACGAGAAACCCCTAATTCAGAAGCGCCCTAAACCCTAAAAGCAATAAACCCTACGAGCCCTAGACCCTAACAGCCATACACCCGAAATACCTAGACACTAAACAGCCTAAACATCCCATACCCTAAACACCCTAAAGCCCCAAACCACTAAACCCTAAACTACCCACTGAAGACCCGATTTCAGGCTGCCTAGAACCCCTGAACCCTTGACGATAGACACCCCAAAGCAGAGCTCTAATCCCTCAAAACCCAAACACCCCTAAACCCGAACCCCCCCCCCCTCCCCCCCTAAACCCTAAACCCTAAACCCTAAACCCTAAACCCTAAACCCTAAACCCTAAACCCTAAACCCTAAACCCTAAACTCACCTCTAAGGCTTCCAGCTCTAAGTACCTAAATCCTACAAGGAGGGGCCCCCTCCCTGTACCAAGGGACTTATAGCCTAAGTTCGGATCCATAACCCAAGTTCGGGTTTGTAAAACTCTACTTATCACTAGGGGGGCCCCTCCCTGTAAACCCTAAACCCTCAACTCAGCAGCCGCTAAGGCGGCTACTTGAAGATGGCGCCCGGCTCCCTGATCTCCGGCGAAGTTGCATTTCAAGACTTCCACAATTTTTCAGAGTTTAGAGTTTAGGTTTACTGGAACTGTTTTTTTTGTTTTTTTTTTATGCTGTGGTTTTTGTTCTGGTGGTTTTTCATTACTTACAATTTGATTGCTGTTGCTGTTATTATGACTTTTTATAATCATCATGATTCTTATTATTCTCTAGTATGACTTTGCTGTGCAGTTGACGCACCCAAACCTCAAACCCCATACCCGACCCGAAATTCCAAACCCCAAACCTAAGCCCCTAAGCCTAAGCCCTACACCCCAAGCCCGAAGCCCTAGACGAAGCCTTCATCTTCAACAAGGAGATTGTCGACCGTGGCCGACTCGTGTCTTGTTTTTTGAAGAAAGTTGGGCGATGCGACACTGATTCGAACTCCCCGATCCATGGCATTATGACGTTGATGCGCGACACTGGTTCGAACTCCCCGATCCATGACATCACGACGTTGATGAGTCATGACCAGTTGCCTCAAGTGCAGCATTCGGGGGTGCACCCCTCACATACCTGCGGAATCGCAGCATATGGTGTTGGCGTGGTCTCTTGGAACCAACACAAATTCCCTCTTTTCCAGCACTATTACCATCGCCTCGTGCCACAGACATCATGAATCTTGAGCTAGGGCAGAAACGTTTCAGGGGTTTTGGGTTTCGGGTTGAGGGTTTCGGGTTTCAAGGGCTTTTTACGTCCAAACCCCCCCCCCCCCCCCGGCCCCCGACGACTTAGAGCTTGAGGGTTGGTGGTCAACCCTCTATGTAACCGAACCCCCGAAAAAACCCTAAACCCTAAACCCCAAACCCTAAACCCTCGGCCCCCTAACACTCGAAACTCCTGAGCAACGCCCTAGAGCCTTCAACACCCGATAGGCCCTAAACCCTAAACGAAATCTAGACCTAGACCAAAGCTAGTTCTCAGTGTTTCCCTTCTACAGACTGTGGTCGCAAAGTCCAAACCCTAATAACCCTCAACCCGAAAGCCAAAAAACTGCTAGGGCCCCAAAAAACCGAAACCCTAAACCCTAGTACAACTATGGCTCAACCGAAAGCCTGAATCCCTAAACCCCAGACCCAACTTGCAGCAGTTATGGCCCTATACCTAAACCCTAAACCCGAAACCTTAAGCTCGAAACCCTGAACCCTAAACCCTAAGCCTAACCCCCAAACTCCCGTGGTGTCTCAGACTCTTAGGTCGGCGCACGCTTGCTGGTGGTGTGCCCTGCGGCCGCTACTGGGGCCCTAGTCGCTGGCGCCAGCAAGGCCACTCTTGTAAGGCTTTTGGGATCCCGGAACCCTGAGCTCTAAGCCCTAAACCCTAAGCCCTGAACCCTAAACCCAAAACCCTAAACCCTAAACCCTACACCCTAACCCTAAACCCTAAACCCTAAACCCTAAACCCTAAACCCTAAACCCTAAACCCTAAACCCTAAACCCTAAACCCTAAACCCTGCTTGGTGTAGGGCTTTGGGGCTTTCTGGGACCAGCACACCGGAAGTCCTTGAGTTTGGCGGAGGGTACACGGTGGAGGGAACCCTAGACCGCCCCAAACCCTAAACTCTAACACCAACACCAACATGTGCAAACATTGGCAGCGTCTGTATAAATATAAATAAATAAATATATATATATATATATATAGATACATATATATATATATATATATGTGTGTTTTTTAGTATGAGTTATGAGTTATCAGCCTGTGTTTGTTTGTGTATGTATTATTGTAGAGGTATAAATAAATAAGAACATATATATATATATATGTGTGTTCACATACACATGTATATACAAATTACATCCCGTGTAGGCGGTTGCCATGGAAGATTCCTCGCTGAAGATCCAGCGCTGGGGCCCTGGGCAGAGTTGCCAAAGCGCAGCCAATAAATGACCCGAAGCCCGAAACCCTAAACCCCAAACCCTAAACCCTAAGCAGCTAGGAACACATCCCGAATCCCTAGTTGAATGTTGTAGTGGGATGCTTGGGAGAGTGGTTTACGGCCTCCTGGCCCTGAGTTTGTGTGCATTCATTTGTCATGATCAGAGTCGATAGCTATGCAGAGAGTCATAGGCTCAAGTTATCGATCAGTGTTGAGGGTTCGCTGACAGGGTTGTGGGTTCTGGACTTTGGCCGGAAGGCCTAACCCTAAAGCCTAAACCCTAAGCCCGAAGCCCAAAACCCTCAGGTTCAGGGTTGCTGTGGATGGTTCATGTGTTGCTTGAAGAAGGCTGTCATCACTCGCTTTATCACGGCAGCTTCCTAACCCTAACCCTGAACCCCTAAACCCTAAACCGAAATCCCTCCACCCCCAAAACCCTGCCCGTCCTTCACCTCATCACCTGAGCAAGAGCAGGTCTAGGGCTTAGGGCTTCGGGTTTAGGGCATAGGGCTTCTAGGGCTTTGGCTAGGTCCAGGCTCGGTCCCTGTGCGACGAAAAGCATGTATCTTGCTGCTACGAGTTTCCAAGGTTGCTGGGTGCTCAAGGTTGCGTATGTGAGTTTAAGATTTAGGAGGGTTTAGGGTTTAGGGTTTAGGGTTTAGGGTTTAGGGTTTAGGGTTTAGGGTTTAGGGTTTAGGATTTGTTCTTGGTAGGAAGTTTGGGCATTAGGCATCTTACATCCCCCTGTGCTACCCGAAACTCTGACCCCTAAACCCAACACGGTTAAAGCCTAAAGCCAACAAGAGACGCCAAGCACTAAACCCCAAACTCTCAACCTAAACCCCACACCCTAAACCCCAAACCCTAAACCCCAAACCCTAAACCCTAAACCCTAACCCTAAACCCTAAACCCTAAACCCCATAAATTCCCGGCCTAGCGCTCGGGTCTGAGGTGCATTCGTTCCTCTGCAGTGCCTGCAGAGACTCGACGAGCTCGTGCCGCGCTGAGCCGCATGGGTTTAGGGTTTAGGGTTTAGGGTTTAGGGTGCGGCAGAGAGCACAGACAACTGCAACTACTGCTGCCGTGCCAATGGGTGGTGCGATCCAAACACACACCTCGTGGGTGCAACCCTGAGCCCTAAAGCCTAAACCCTAAACCCTAAACCCCTAAACCCTAAACCCTAAACCCTAAACCCTAAACCCCTAGTGATTCCAGACGGTTCGCGGATCCATATGACCTCTCGCACTGCACTCGTCTAAATAGCAGAGCTACCACACAGGAGGAGTGAATGTCATCTCTTGGGTTCCCCATTTTACGTTTAGGGTTTAGGGTTTAGGGTTTAAGGTTTAGGGTTTAGGGTTTAGGGTTTAGGGTTTAGGGTTTAGGGTTTAGGTTAGGGTTTAGGGATTGTTGTATCCCCTGTGACATCATCCCTATTAAGGTCTGTCAATATAAGGCAGAACATCCCAAGTCATTTTCTCCAACTTGGGTCAAAGCGAGAATGGGATCCTCCATCGTATCCCTGAAGCCCTAAACCCTTAAACCCTAACCCTAAACCCTAAACCCTAAACCCTAAACCCTAAACCCTAAACCCTAAGCTGGCGTGGCTTCTCTGGCACTAGGACCCATGCCTGGACGCAGAGTAGGCCCTTCTGCCCCCTTCTGTTTAGGGCTTAGGCTCCCTCATACACCCCTGTGAACCAAGAAGGGTACCCTGCTTCATCCTAAGTTACTCACCCTTATCCCTAAACCCTAAACCCTAAACCCTAACCCCTTTCTATTCCTAGGTTAGAAGGGCGCAGAACACTGTGGACCCAAGCTTATACTCAAGTCCCGCCAACATCCTAGGACCCCAACTCCTCTCTGGGTTTAGGGTTTAGGGTTTAGGGTTTAGGGTTTAGGGTTTAGGGTTTAGGGTTTAGGGTTTAGGGTTTAGGGTTTAGGGTTTAGGGTTTAGGGTTTAGGGTTTAGGGGGTTTAGGGTTTAGGGTCTCCTTGTTGGCCTCCCTAATTTGATTTTCCAAGCTCCTCAAACCTTTCAGGCCCTGAAGCCTACAGCCCTATGCCCTAAGTGCCAAAGCCTAATCCCTAAACCCTAAAGCCCTCCTTCCACCTAGGTACCACGCCTTTGCGCGCTGTCGTCCGCACACAAAGATGAGCAGTGCCCCCAAGGGAGGGAGGTTTGGAGCTTGGGGTTTAGGGTTTAGGGTTAGGGTTTAGGGTTTAGGGTTTAGGGTTTAGGATTTAGGATTTAGGGTTTAGGGTTTAGTGTTTAGGGTTTAGGGTTGGGGTTTAGTGTTGGGTGGATGTTTGGAGTTCTTTTTTTGTATTGTTGAAAGCTTCCCGGGCTTGCCTGCTGTCGCTAGGAGACCCCCTCAACTTAGTACCCTAAACCCTGAAGCCCGACTATTAAAACTTACTCTCTACAAAATCAACTGAGGCCTCAAACCCTTTTAACCTCAAACCGCAAATCCTAAACTGCAAGCCCTAAACCCTAAACCCTCAAACCTACAGTCCTCAGCCTTAAAGCAATTTTGCCCTCGCACCCTGTCAAGGACGGACCTCTGGATTCGAGATGCCGGCTTTCGCGGACTCCCTTTTGCCGCGGCCCTTGTTGGGTTTAGGGCTTAGGGCTTAGGGTCTAGGGTCCAGGGTCCAGGGTTGAGGGTTTGGGGTTTGAGCCGTAGAATGTTCGGGGCTTTAGGGTTTATCCGGCTTTACTTCAAGGTTCATGGTAGATTGGAGTCGGAGTGGGGTTCTGTGAAACTAGCATGCGAAATCCTGAGCCCAAGGCATGCTAGTCTGAACCCACACTCAAGCTGGGTTTAAAAACCCTAAGCCCCAATGCCCAAGTCCCAAACCATACACACTAAAGCCTACACCGCTGGAGCGGAGATCTTGCACCCTAAACCCTAAACCCTAAACCCTAAACCCTAAACCCTAAACCATGTGTGAGAAGCTTCAGGCCCGCTTGGGGGCCGGTTTAGGGTGGTCAGGGTTGAGGGTAGCTAAGGAAGGGTGTCTAGTGCAACTTACTGTACTTGAAGCAACTTGGGGGACTAGAGGGCCCCTTAGAATACTTTAGGGTAGTTCAGGGTGCTTTTAGAGCACTTAGGGTAATCTGTGGTGAGTTTAAGGGTACTTCAGGGCAATTCAGGGTAATTAAGGGACCTTAAACCCTAAACCCTAAACCCTAAACTCTAAACCCTAAACCCTAAAGGGCACGTTCAGGTCATTTAAGGCATAAAAACAGTAGATGGGCCCGCTGTCGAGGTGCCCCGGCTTGAGCGGATGCCAGCTGGAAGCGCCAAGGCTCGGGTTTGGGGTTTGGGCTTTAGGGTTTAGGGTTTGGGGTTTAGGGTTTAGGGTTTAGGGTTTAGGGCTAAGGGTTTAGGTTTTAGGGTTTAGGGCTTAGGGTTTAGGGTTGAGGGCTTAGGGCTTAGGGCTTAGGGTTTAGGGTTTAGGATTTAGGGTTTAGATCCTACCGTTGGGGTATAAGGGCCCCTAAAAGGGGGATTCTGGCAGACCATGTTTGTAGAATGTTTTTGGTTGTCGCCATAACATGAGAATCAAGAGGGATGTAGGGTTTATAGGGTTCACATGGCTTATATGTCTATGGGGTTTTATCTACTAGGCTTTGTCAGGGTTGATACAGGATTTTTAGGGTTTGTTAGAGTTTATTAAAGGGGTTACAGAGTTCCCAAAATGGGGAATACTTGGGCCGTAAAGTTTTAAAGTACTTCCAATACAGGGGCTTTGCTGGGCCCAAGTCTACAATAATGAGGTGCATGGACTGTAGGGGCATGAACCTGTAGAGCGTTTGGAGTTTTTAGGTTCAAGGGTTCTAGGTTTTAGGGGTTTTAGGCTTTTTATTGGGGTCGGGCGGGTTCCATCAAGAGACTAAGACTCGTACCCCTAAGGTTGTACCCCTAAAGGTTCCCCTTAATGTACTCCGAATATGGTTGAGGATCTTTCAAAAAAGGGTCCACGGGTACAACCTTAAGGGTCCAAGGTACAAACCCTAAACGCTAAACCAGGGTTTAGGGTTTAGGGTTTAGGGTTTAGGGTTTAGGGTTTAGGGTTTAGGGTTTAGGGTTTAGGGTTTAGGGTTTAGGGTTTAGGGTTTAGAGTAACATCCTTGCCCTATGGCTGCCATGACAATAGAAGCCCTGAATCTGAACAAACCGAAGCCCAAAAACCTAGCAACACCCCGCCATTATAGGGTTATAGGGTTATAGGGTTATAGGGTTTTAGGGTTTTAGGGTTTTTGGGTTTTTGGGTGATAGGGTTTAGGGTTTTAGGGTTTAGGGTTTTCGGGCTTAGGGTTCAGGGTTTAGGGTTTGGGGGGAGGCCCTCCTTGACCTCCAGGTCAACCCTACTCCTTATTGGAGCCCCTCCTTTGCCAAGGCTTCGCGTTTGCCCGCCCATGGCCTCGACGGGGAGCGAGAACTTGTGCTTAGGGTTTAGGGTTTAGGGCTAGGCTAGGTTTTAGGGTTTGGGGTTTGGGGCTTAGGGTTTAGGTTGCTTCCAGTTTCAAGGGTGTCATACTCGGACCCCTAAGGATGTAGCCCGAAGAGGTTCCCTTAATATACTCCTATTCTCGAAACCAGTCCCCAAACCCAAGGGCACAACCTTAGGACACTTGACAGTTCTCTCAGTACCCACCCAAAATCCTAAACCGTCCATGGACCCAAACGGGTATCAGGGATTAGGAGGGGTGACTACGGACCCATATCCATCCAATCTTACCTTAACAAGCTCAAGATGCCCTCGAGTTGCCGTTTAGGGTTTAGGGTTCAGGGTTCAGGGTTTAGGGTTTAGGATTTAGGGCTTGGGGTTTAGGGCTTGGGGTTGCAAGCTTGTCTGCCAAGAACCGACCTAATTTCCCTCCTGCCTGACACTGATGGAGGTTTGGGTACTTAGAACCCCAATTATTACTGCACTTGTAAGCCCCTAAGGTTATAAGCAGGCTTACAACTAAGCAGTACATTTGTGATACTCGGACCGGGATCTAGAGTAGGCCCTGTCTGCATTGTTTGAGGGGTTAGGTTTCGTGAGTAGTTATGAGTCTGAGTAGTAAGTAGGGTAGCTGTAGTTTTGAACATACTACTCCAAGCCCACCTTGCCTAAGCTGTGTCTCTGAATTTGTGGTGTGAGCCCACAAGGAGTGAGGGCGTAGAGAGAACAGGGAACCGTAGACCTTAAACCCTGAATCTTTCTCATGCCAAAGCGCAATTGTTTCGAGCCACCCGCCCCACTATAGTAACTATGGTTATAACTATGGTTAAGAGTTTCAGAACCTAAGCTAACATGCTTCTCTTGCAACTCCTTGTGATACCTCTAGGGTTTTCGCGTTTCGAGCTTTAGGTCTAGGGTCTATTGCCACATGATGATGGTAGCTGTAGTTGTAGCACAGCATTCAGGTACTGGCTGAACTACACTTGCAACTATCCATGAGACCTCAAGAAGAAGTTGGTATCCAGCTATCGCCCTCCCAGACCACGTGCTGCAAATCGGAGTGTTTAGGTTTAGTCCCTAAACCTAAACCCTAAACCCTAAACCCTAAACCCTAAACCCTAAACCCTAAACCCTAAACCTGGGTAGCTGTAGTTGAAACCATCGTTCAGGTGCATGGACCCCCTTCTCGTGCGATGCATGAACCTTCCAGTCGGTTTCGTGCCAAACCCCCAAGCCTTGACCCTAGACCCTAAACCCCTGCACCGTAAACCCTAAACCCATGAACCCTAAACCCTAGACCCTAAACCCTTTACCCGACCCTAAACCCTAGAATCTAAAGCCTACCCAGGAACCCTAAACCCTAAACCCTAAGCCGACTAAGTATATACTGCCACCCTGCGCTCAAAGAGTCAACGAGAAGTTCTTCCGAAACGACGATGCGCTTCAGGCTGGTTCTGTTCGTCCCCTCACGGAGCCACGAGCCTTTTCACCACAAAAAAAGCTTAGGGTTTAGGGTCTAGGGTTTAGGGGGTTTAGGGTTTTAGATAAACTGAGATGTTCTTCTGCAGGTTGCGGCTGGGCCCTCAATGCCTTGTACAAAAGGGAACCAAACTGACTTGGCGTCCCCATGCTCTTTTGCATGACACACCGCAAGCCACTCCTGAAGCCCACTTGCACGTGAAGACACACACACACACACACCCACGCGCGCGTGCGCGCGTGCGCGCGCGCGCGCGACTTCGGTTTTCTTGTTTTGAAGCCCAGGCTTAAAGGGGCAGGTGCGCACCAGGTTGTCGGTCGCACACTCCTTTTCTGTCAGCCCGCCTCACCCACCCCTGAGCGTCGTGTTTGCGGACTGAGGCCAGGATTCAAGTCGACAACTCTCGGGAATAGGCCGCCTTGAAGCTAAGAAGGGGGATCTGAGTAGCGGACCTGGCAAATTCAAGATTTGTCACCGTGCGATTTCTTGCGTCAGAAGGATGCCGGTGCCCAAACCAGAACTCCGATGCACACTCCAACTGCGATTGCGCGGGCGTTAACATCGGACTTCGCAGTCCCATTCTCAGAAACTGTCAGACACTGATTTTGTACAGTCCATTGACACATTGACAGAGATAACTTTGTGATCATTCGAAGAGTGCTTTGTAGGGCCTGAAACGCAGCCAGCTTACATGCTTAAGCTTCCCCCTTCCCCCCTGCCCCCACAGCCAAAAGGAGGCCTAAACCCTCAACCCGCAACCAAAAGGAGCCAGCAAAACTGCTCCTGACTGGGGCCACGGGCGGCCTTGGAAAGTGCCTTGGTGGCCAAGCCAACTCTCTCAAGGCCGTGAGGTTCATCCATCGGGTTTAGGGTTTAGGGTTTAGGGTTTTGTGGGGCTTGGGCATGGACGTCTTTGGGAAGGAACAGAGGATTCATGTTTTCAGGTTTGGTTTTGGGGCTTAGGTCTGAGCCATTCGCAGAGGGTGCGAGGGTAGTGCTCTGACGCTGTAAGCGAATCTTGGCCCGTGGAAATGCTCAAAGACTTTCTCTCCGAGACAGAAAGCCTTCAACATATTCAAGGTTGAAGCTTGGCTTCAATTTTTAGGCTTAACCACCCGTAACCACCCGAGTATTCAGAGCTTGTAGTTTGACGATTTGGGTAGATGTGCAGGTCTGCAACTTCTGGTCCTTTTGTTGGAACTCCAGTTGTATTTCGGAGACTTGTTAGGGTACCGCACACGGGACCAACATTTCTCTGGGCTTAAGGTGGTTTCAGTTGGAGGGTTCTACTGAGGGTTTACGGGGTTGGGTTCAGGGTGGTTTGACTTTGAGGGTTTTGATCAAAGGCTCGAGTTTCATATGTTGTTTTGCGTGAAGGAACGTTTATCCCAAGTGGTGCAACACCTTTGCATTTTTGACAGGTGATGTTTTCGGCCCTAAATAAAACTGAGGGCTTCGGGTCTAGGGGTTGAGAGCCTCGGCTGAAAGCGCCGAAAACCTCTAAGCCCCTCGTAGGCCCGCGACCCGCCAAGGGCTGTGGTTTCGTGGCTGATCAAGGAGCAGGACAGTGGGGAGCAGCGTCTGCGGTTGAGGGTTGCACAAGAAGCATGTGAAGGTCCATGATAAGCTAGGGTTTATGCGCATTCACGCGCTATGTATCTGCATCTACACTACTTATTATAGCCCTACGTTTGATTCCCTTCCAGTATAGCTTAAGCCTCAACAGTAGCATGCTCGACGTGCAGCTCTCATCGCAAAAGTCCCCCAAGCTACTCGATCCAAGGAAGAAGCTTTTGCTAGCGCTGCAATTGCCCGATTATAGGGGTCGGAACAATTCCTAACAGTATTCCCTTAGGGCCCCTGTAATGAATCTAGAATAACCCCCAATGCCTTATTCTAATGATTCGGGCCGCTATATTAAGCCCCTCACCCTAAACCTTGTTTTGTACCCTTCCAGGTCAGGATCCAAGATGGCAACGCTACACCCTGATCCCTACACCCTAAACCCTAAACCCTAAACCCTAAACACTCACCCTTAAGCCCTAAAGTTTCGCGCCCTTCACAGGGCTTCCAGCCGGAGCAGCTTTTGCTTCTGCGCCGCATGGGATCCAGTCCACGGCTCAACGTGGTTAGGGGTGCTGAGCTTTGGGGTTGAGGGTTTAGGGTTTAGGGTTCATAAGGTTTATAGGGTTTAGGGTTCAGGGTTTAGGTAACGACTTTCTAGTAGCATGCAGAAAAGAGAACGTCATTGAACTGTTGGCTGCACGATGAACTTCGGGCAATCAATTGAACATCGAGCTTATCTTCCACTAGGCGCAGTCTCGTTGAAGGAGAACATAGAGGATTTCGCTATGAGTTGTGTGTGGCTATGGACATTCCTCCATGCCCATAGTAGGAATCAGTCGCGAGACAGGATGCGCCTTGCCCCGGGGCGTCAAAGAGATTCAATGCTGCTAAACCCTAAACCCTAAACCCTAAGCCCTAAAACCTAAACCCTAACCCTAAACCCTAAACCCTAAACCCTAAACCCTAAACCCTAAACCCCCAATCGGCGACGTCGATTGCGACAGTGTTCAACGAAGGCCGGTCCCTGAGATGGTCACCCACAGAACTCTGGAGTGAGGTAGGGTTTAGGGTTTAGGGTTTAGGGTTTAGGGTTTAGGGTTTAGGGTTTAGGGTTTAGGGTTTAGGGTTTTGGGGTTAGGGGTTAGGGTTTAGGGTTTAGGGTTTAGGGGTTTGGGGGTTAGGGTTTGGGGTTTAGGGGTTTCTGCTGCCGGCAGGAAGACGCCCTGCTCCTACGTTGTAAAGCAACTCTCTCATGAACCTTGACCTCTTCTGTTCTCATCACTTCTGGATGGATGGGGTTTGCATTCTAACGTGCGACTCAGCATGCAGAGGACGGACAACCGGAAGCAGTCTCCCCCGCTGCTATGGCGGGAGTGGGGCCCAGGAGATGCTCGAGCTCCTCGGTGACTACTTGGAAGCAGTCACAGAGGCGGCTGGCGGACTCCCGCCAATGTCCCTCGCCGTCGACGGGTCCATACTGAACGGGCTCATGTGTGCCGCCTTTGCCGGGCTTCTTGACTCCGACACCTTGTCTGGACTTACAAACTTAGGTTTGGGGTTTAGGCCTTAGGGTACAGGGTTTAGGGTTTGGGATTTAGGGTTTAGGGTTCAGGGACTTTTTCCCGGAAGTAGAGATTCAATCGAGGCGGAAGGTCCAAAGCTAAATGCAAAAGGATAAGAGCCTACTAGCTACTCTTTTGGGGTTTGGGGTTTAGGTTTTAGGGTTTAGGGTTTAGGGTTTTAGGGTTTAGGGTTTAGGGTTTAGGGGTTTAGGGTTTAGGGTTTAGGGTTTAGGCATGGTTGTGGGCGGATCCGAAGGCGGTTGCCCCTGCACGCAAGAATCTGGAAACCTTTTTCTTGGCACCTTGCTCTCCCATGTCTGCCTCACGACCAGGATAGTTGGACAAGATTCGGGAGGGGTTTCTTTTTCAGGGTTTAGGGTTTAGGGTTTAGGGGTTTAGGTGTTTAGGGGTTTAGGGGTTTAGGGGTTTAGGGGTTGAGGGTCCGATAACAAGGGCCCCACGTCTACAGGTATCCGTCTTGATAAGGCCCCTTGCAACACTCGGCTGAGGCAAGTTGGAGGGGGACCTGGCCCGCTGCACCGTTGTCGAGGTGCGGCTTCTTCAGGCAAAGAGATACCTATTTTGGGGTTTAGGGTTTAGGGTTTAGGGGGATAGGAAAATGTGGATCAGGTGCTCCATGTTGCTGGGGAGGCAAGGTTTGACCCTACCCTTATACCCTAGACCCTAGACCCCACCCTAAACCCTGTAACTTCGGGATTCTTAGGAATAGTTTTTAATTTTCCGGCACTGCAATTCCTAAGAGGCAGCTAGCATTATATTTTTGTTAGGGTTCCAAGTTCAGCATAGGCCTAGACCCTAAACACCAAACATCCCCAAACCCCTAAACCCTTGAGGGGTTCTGAGGGTCCCTAGTTGGTTTAGGGTTTAGGGTTTAGGGTTTAGGGTTTAGGGTTTAGGGTTTAGGGTTTAGGGTTTAGGGTTTAGGGTTTAGGGTTTAGGGGTACCTCATTGGGGTCCTTACTATAAGGGGATCCTAGTATTTGGGGTCTAATTTTAGGGTCCCCTATTCTCGTGAAACCCCCATATGGCAGGCTGCCAAAGTGGACAGCACCTCGGTGTTACAGGAGTCGCTCCTGCAGGTGGCTCGCAGTCTCAGGGCCGCCGCGGTTTAGGGTGTAGGGCACAGAGTTGAGTGCGGGATTTTCTGGGTTTAGGGCATAGAGGGTCTGAGGGCCGTAGTTTAGGGTGTAGGGCTCAGGTTATAGCGTGGCATTCCTGGGCTGAGGGGATGTAGGGTTTATGGGGTGTAGGGTGCCCAACTCAGCAGGAGCGCGTCTCGCATGCTTGGGCAGGGTCATGACTTGTGATTTCGGGGCTGTTCTTGGTTGATGTGGCGCTGTAAGTCTAGGACCCGGAGTAGGCCCTTATTTCCTTCTTTAGGGTTGGGGTTCCTTTTATAAGCCCCTTAACACCAAAAAGGGTGCCCTTTTATTCCTAGGTTACTACTGCATCTAGTAGCCCTAAGGCCTAATTCCTAAACCCTGGGTCAAGCTGAGGTCGCAGACCCGTAGGCCGTAGGCCGAAGCATTTTGGTGCATGAAACTCTAAACATCCCCTGGGACAAGATCTTTTGTAGGGCTTCGGTTCGCTCTAGGGTTTAGGGTTTAGGGTTCAGGGTTTAGGGTTTAGGGTTTAGGGTTTAGGGCTATCCCTAGGTTGCTGTTGGGTCTAGTCCCGTGAGCCCTAGAGGATGGAGATGGTGGCAATTCATGTTTTGCCTCAAAGCTGTCAAAAATTTTGGGTTTAGGGTTTAGGGTTTAGGGTTTGGCAACCTTTGCTGTTGTGATTGGTGCTTATGAAAGCAAAGCAGCAAGTCAATATATTTGGTGGCTCGAAATTCTGCGGAGACTACCTCTTTCAAAAAAAAGAGCAAGCAACCGCTGTCCCTCGACCAACCTTCAAGATTAGCGCGGTGTCACGTTTTTCCAGCTGCGGTGGAAACGAGTGACAGCTGTGCACCAAGATGACTATACTTAGTAGCTGAATGAGTACACTTTACACTTTTTGGCTACTATAATCTCCTATAGAAAACTGAAAGTGTACTTTTTAGGGGGCTTATGAACTCAGCAACTAAGCATAAGTCCTTCTATAGCCAAGCTTTAGTTTGGGATTTCTCCATGCCAGAGGGCTGAGGATTCTTCACGCATCATACTCACAACCCTACAAACCCTAAACCCCAGGCAAGTGGAAGTTGAGGGCAAAAGGGCGCATTATCACAGCGTCGCTCCCGCACCTGAAGTTTAACCTAGCGTTTAGGGTTTAGGGTTTAGGGTTTAGGGTTTAGGGTATCTTGCCTACAGGTGCGTGGCGTGACAGGAATCCTACATCTGGCCGGCGTGCTCGATGACGGAATCGTCGGAGGTCTGGGTGGGCTCTCTGCATTTAGTGGTTTGCGTCCTAGGTGCTTGTTGTCTGTTGCTACTAGCAAGAACTGAAGCTGTAAGGCCGAAACCTAAAAGCCTACACCATAAGCCCTATACCCCCCTAAACCCTAAACCCTAAACCCTCAACCTAAAAGCCTACACCATAAGCCCTATACCCTAACTCATGAACTCGATCTCACTCCAGAGTAAAATGCGACCTTAGAGTCCTGCAGCCTATAGCCCCCCGCGACCCCAAACCCACTGGAACGTGAGAGGTGTCGAACCTCAAGCTGCTCAGGATTTAGGGTTTAGGGTTTAGGGTTTAGGGTTTAGGGTTTAGGGTTTAGGGTTAGGGTTTAGGGTTTAGGGTTTAGGGTTTAGGGTTTGGGGTCTGGGGTTTAGGGTTTTTTAGCATCTAGGCCCAACACTTCGGCTCAAAATGCACCAGAAAGGGCAAAAGTGGTCTCTGGGCCCAAACAAGGGTTTAGGGTTTAGGGTTTGGGTTTAGGGCAAGAGTCCCTGGAGCTTTTAGGAAGCCCCTGAACCCGAAACCCTGCAAAGCAACGGCAGTTCACGCGTGCGCACACAGCCATGAGAGTGGAAGCGAGTGCAGTGTCGGGCGCCATTTTGGCCCCCTCTGTTCTTTGGCAACCAGCAGCCTCTAGAGACGATATCGTAGTTCAGTAGGGTTTCGTCCTGAACCCCGAACCCTGCAACCCCGGGAACTCTAAGCCCAAATCCCAAATCCCAACCTTCAAACCCTGGGTTTTGGAGTACTGCACTGGAATGCTTTTTTGGTTCTGGGTTCCTGTTATGGCTACTTATTGCCTAGAAGTGTATATTTTTCCAGGGTCTACTCCACAGTTAGGGAATACCCACAGGGCAGAACCCTAGCCTTAAGCCGAACCTGAAGCCTAACCTGCAGAGCTGCGCAACCCTGCAGGAATGACAGAGGACAGAATGAGGAAGGCAGGTTTGATTTGTTTGTTTGGGGTTCAGGCTTTCGTCTTTAGGGTAAAGGGTCTACCTAGACCCTAAAAACCCTAAACTCTAACTCCCATTTTTGCTTACAGGGAGTTCTGGTTGTGTGGTGGGCTGACGGGCTGACATGTTTAAGTTGAGGGTTTAGCATTAAGGAGGCTTTTGGGGTTTTAGGATATAGGTTTCAAGGTTTAAGGTTGTAAGGTTTAGGGTTTAAGGTTTAGGGTCTTAGGGTTTGGGGTTTCTTTTGAATTTTGAGGTAGTGGTTTTGAATGGTCGGAGGGATCTTGGGTTCACTCCATAGCATTGACATTGAGGTGTTTGGGATGTTTAGAACTAAATCCCAAGCCCTAGAATGCTAACCTAAAGCCCTTAGCCACCTGCAATGGCTTTGCCATGGCCGGTATCGTGATTCTTTGCTTAGGGTTAAGGGTTTTAGGGTATGTTTGTTTGGGGTTTAGGGTTTAGGGTTTAGCGGTTGGGGTTAGACGTATATATATATATATATATACATATACATGTATATGTATATGTATATGTATGTATGTATGTATAAATTCAAATGTATGTTTGTCTGCCCATTCTGGGAGATAAAAGCCCCTACACCCGAGTGAAGCGGTGCAGGTGGCCCAGCCAAAATGCGGCATGCTGGTGGCCCTGCTGAATGCTGCGAAGGCGTCTTAGGGTTTAGGGTTTGGGGTTTGGGGTTTAGGGTTTAGGGTTTAGGGTTTAGGGCTAGGGTTTAGGGTTTGGGGTTTAGGGTTTAGGGCTAGGGTTTAGGGTTTGGGGTTTAGGGTTTAGGGTTGCGCAGTGGCGGAATGTGAGTCAGGCTGAGCTTGCAAGTCCATGTTGCGGGTTTTCAGTCTAGGCCAGCCGCAGTTCTTGCATCCAGCGCTGAGCTTGCCAGCTGCGGCGAATAGCTTCTAGGGTGTAGGGTTTAGGGTTTAGGGTTTGGGGTTTCGCGTTTAGGGTTTAGTGTTTAGGGTTTAGGGTTTGGGGTTTAGGGGTAATAATAGTATTCCCGTATGATCCCTATATTAATATATTCTCATACCCCCCCAAAACCCTGTTCTAACTATTTAGGCTCCTACAGCAGCAGGGTAGAAGGTCGATAAAGCTTTAGAGTTTGGGTTTAGGGTGCAGGGTTTAGGGGAGCTTTCAAGATTTTCGTAGTTCACAAGCCTAACCCAAAGCCAAAGCCCCCAACCAATCCACTGACCCAAGCACCTTTCCAAGAGGGCGGGGGGACTTGGAGGTTCAGGGTACACACAACCCACTCATAACTGTAGCTATACCCCATTCATAAGCCCCTTAAGTACCCTAGCGTGGTTATGATTCAACCCTGAACCCTGAACCCTAAACCCTAAACCCTAAACCCTAAACCCTAAACCCTAAACCGCTGGCTGAACCTCCAAGCAGGAGCTGCAGTGGCCGCTCCAGTGGACCGTCGGCTTCTCCTCCACCTCCTCGCTGTTCGGATATGCTGGGCAGGACGGGAGCAGTTGGGCGTTCACCCCTCCACCGCAAGCTCCTAGGGTTTCGGGTTTAGGGTTTAGGGTTAGGGTTTAGGGTGTAGGGTTTAGGGTTTAGGGTTTAGGGTTTAGGGTAGATCCGAAGCCCGAACACTCACGCTTATTGTTTTCCAAGCCTGACGTTCAGGGAGTAGAGTGCGAAAAGGATACCACTATTGTCCCACTTTTCGTCCCTGTATATTTCGACATATCGACTGCCAAAAGGGCCCGTGCCAATTCCAATTCCTTAAGCTTAAGCCCTAAACGCAGCTTGTCTTTCTTGATCAGCGCCGCGCATCCTCACGCCCCAGTGAGTTTTTTGATGTTCGGCCGTGAACCCATACCCCAAGCGCGGAGGGTTTAGAGTTTAACCCCTAAACCCTAAACCCTAAACCCTAAATTTTAAACCCTATGGGCTTGGAGCCTGAAGTTCAAGACCCGAATGCAGAGTCCGCATGATCAAAAGATGCGAATTCAGGTTGCAGAGGCCCTTTGGAAGCTGTGGTCGGGGCTTTGGGTTTGGGACCTACAGGGCCTAGGGCTTAGGGCTTAGGGCTTAGGGCTTCGCCCGAAACCCCTAAACCCCAAACCCTAAACCCCAAACCCTAAACCCTAAACCCCAAACCCTAAACCCTAGGCCTTCGCCCACAATTCCCTGGGAGGTGAACTACTGTGCAGCCAATGCGCTGCTCGATCAGCTGGCGGTCTTCAGCAGCGAAGGGGCGCGACCTGAGGCACGAGCGGCTGTAAGGCTTAAGGCTTAAGCCTATGGTTTAGGGTTTAGGGTTTAGGGTTTAGGGTGGTTTTTACAACCCGAAAAACGTATAAGCACCACACAGTTGTGCATTTAGAGCGCCCAGGGGTTGAAGGGCTTATGGCGTTTCAAGGGTTTTGTTGGGCTTCAAGGTTTGTATTCAAGGGTCCATAAACGGTGCAGGGTGTTCATGAGCTTTGGGTTTGAGTAAGGTTTTCGGCTCAACCAAACAGGGTTGAGGGTTTTGGGTCCAGCCAGCGTATAGAGTTTAGGGTTGAGGGGTGTAGGGTGGCCCTAAACCCTAAAACCCTGGATGGTTGCAGTTGGAAAATCATGAACGGTTCAGGGCTCAGGGCTCAAGGATTAGGGCTTAGGGTTTAGGGTTTAGGGTTTAGGGTTTAGGGCTAGAAGGGCACCAACGGCCTGACGGTTGACTGACAAAACCCTGGAAAAAGCCACAAAAGGTGGTCGGTTGCAAGCTTGAAGGTGCCCTTGCTCTTTCGAGTTTCCGGGCGAGGCTAGTGACAGTGCAGGGTTTGGGGTTTAGGGTTTGGGGTTTAGGGTTTAGAGTTTAGGGTTTGGGGTTTAGGGTTTAGGGTTTAGAGTTTAGGGTTTGGGGTTTGGGGTTTGGGGTTTAGGGTTTAGGGTTGGCTCTTTGCAGAGTATTTGGCGTGCAGTGGAAACTGGATGTGCTCATCCATTGTCCTGCAGAGCTCGACCGAGGAGCACGAAATCCACGGGCGCGAGGAACATGTCAAGTTTTCCGAGCTGCGCAAGCAAGTGGGTGTGACTGATGCAAAGCAGCTGCGCGACAACAAACGGAAGCAGCCGGACCGCGGCCCGACACACCGCCCCCTGTTCGTGATGCCACACCCGGACATGCCGGACAATGAGGATTGGGAGCTCATCCGCGTCTTTGCAAGTGCGGAGATCAGCAAGAAGGACATTCGGTCTACGAAGTCCTCTCTGCAAGCTGCTGTGGATCTGAATGGCGATCAGACATAGATGGCCTTGCCACTCGCTGGAGTCAGTAAGACTGCTTATTGTTCTAACAAGCACTAGCCCGAGGCTTCATCTGGGCTTAAGCTTGGGATTTTCTGCTAGCCTACTCATATTTCAGCCCCTAAACCCAGAACCGTTCCCCCCCCCCCCCCACCACCCTTTTAGCCGGTACCCCAGTGCCCCTAAGCCCCAAACCCAAAAACACTAAACCCCAAACCCTAAACCGGAAGCCCGAAAGCCCTAAACCTTAAAACCCTAAAGTCCTAAACCTTAAACCCTAAACCCTAAACCCGAGAAGCAACCCAGAACCACACCAAGGGCGGGGGGGGGGGGTTGTGTGTGTGTGCGTGCCATTTTAGGGTTTAGGGTTTAGGGTTTAGGGTTTAGGGTTTAGGTGAGGGTATGAGACCCCAAAGCCTAGGGCCGTGCCCTTTAAGTTGAGACCCCCATCCCGGAAGACACTGTGTCGCGCATTGCCAAACGAGAAACGCTGCTAACCAAAGCAGCCACAGCTTAAAGGTGAGGTTTAGGGTTTAGGGTTTAGGGGTTTCAGGGGTTTTAGGGTTTTTAGGGGTTTTAGGGTTTAGTGTTTAAGGCGCACAACTTGGTAGCCCAGTACCCATATTCGAAGCGCACCCTTTTTGGGGGGTTAGTTACTTTATCAGGGAACCCAGAACCAAAAAAAAAAACAGTAAAGGCTACCACTGGGCCACCAAGTGCTGACAACTCTCAGTCCCTACATTCCCTCTTCCCACGTCCTGGTAACTCCGAAAAAACCCGCAGTCGCGAACTCTACCGAACTACACCTGCCACTCGCGAAAGCCTAGACATTATAATTATAGTAGGGGCATACTTCGCTCTGCGTAAGTATGACCCCCCCCCCCCCCACAAAAACTAAAGTAGGAAGTGGTTGGCGACTCTATGTAATTACATATAACTAACCCGAAGCGGCAAACCCTGAACCCATCACATAACCCTAAACCCTAAGTCCTCATCCCGACACAAAGAGCATGCCCAGGGCGACCGAGCGCCATGCCGCTTCATCACCGTGAACTGGGGTCCGTGGGGCGAGCCGGCTGCACCATGTCGCAGTTGTTTCTTTGTAGCTGAATGAGTACACTTTACACTTTCTGGGATACTATAACTCCCTATACTTTTGGGGGGTTTGTGAACTTAGCAACTTAGTTTGGCTTCCGTTTGGAAGGCCCGACGGGGTCCCGCCGCTTGAGGGTTTGCAGAGTGTATAGGGCTCATACGTTTACAGGGTTTACAGAGTTTATATTGTTCATAGGGCTTCATAGTATTTATAGGGTTCACAGAGTGCATAGAGCCTGTAGGGTTTCTTAGGGTGGGGTTACCCTACACTAGGCAAGAGGGTAGACTCTACCTGAACTTGGACTTGGACTGGCCTCCACCCTAAACCCTAAACCCCATCGCTCCAATTTAGCTTGTGCACTTCCTTTTGCTGTCAAACCCTAAAGCCTAAACCCTAAACCCTAAACCCTAGCAGAAGCCCTCAGGTGAGGCGGGTATGGCCCAGGCGCAGGGGAGTGGGAGAGCCAGTATTGGTCCGGGCTTTGGGAGGGTGCTTTGGGGTCTTTAAGGTTTAGGGTTTAGGGTTTAGGGCTTAGGGTTTAGGGTTAGGGCTTAGGGGTTAGGGGTCAGGGTGAGTCTACATACTTGTTTGGGGGTCTCGGGGGCTTAAGAGAACTTGGGGGTTTGCAGGCTTCGGGTCTTGAGGGGCTTGGTTTTGGGTTTTCTGGGCATTTGGGTTGTGGTGCGCCTAACCCCCTAAACCCTCAACCCTAAACCCTAAACTCTAAACCCCAAACCCTAAAGCCTAAACCCTAAACCCTAAACCCTCAACCCTCAACCCTCAACCCCAAACCCTAACCTTCTCAACGGATGTTTTGCGAAGAGAATGCCCAGACCCTAAGCTCTCCAGGCCCCAAGCCCTGACGACCCTAGTGACCCTAAACCCTAACGCCTAAAACCCCAAACCCTATACATCCCCTTCGGTTCCCTAAAGACCCTAAACCCTCAAGATCCTGGACCCTAAATTTCGGGTACCGGCCATGATGCGGGCCCTTCTGACTGGGGCTTCTCAGCATTCGTGTACCTATTGCGAGGAGCATTTGTGTGCCTATTGCGGGGTGTTTTCGAGAGGGGTTCTGCAAAGCCTGGGGATGGTTCGGAAGAGAGATTAAGGCCAAACATCAACAGCGAAACAACGGTGAGAAAAGATGCCCTCTTCTCCAAGGGCAAGTCAGGTGGGTTCACCGAAGAAGGCTTGTTCTAGTTCATGTACATGACGACGAACATCCACAACATCGACGACTACATCGCCCCGCATAAGCGCCTCCGGAAAACCACAAGAAGCATGGTTCTGAACTTACATTTAGTCCCGAGGGGTTTCTTGCTGATGTCAAGACAAGACTACAGCAAAACCCAAGCCTAAGGAACCCTAGATCCTAGGCCCTGAACCTTAACCTCTCCCAGGCCCCTCCCCCCAAACCCTAGACCATCAACACTTTGCTTTGTGGCTCTCCCACATGTAAGGTACCCAAGAATATTGCGAGAGCTCGGCGCAGATTCGCCCCCCCCCCCCCCGTGTGCAGCTTAAATAGGGTTTATTTGGAAGCTGGCACTCGTGTTCACAAGAGGAAAAAAGGCCCCAAAACGTATACTTATTTACAAGAGCCAACTTCCAAATAGACCCTATTTTAGGTCCTAGGGGGGGTCCCAGGCCTGAATTAAATATGAAGGCCCCGATTTAAATATGAATATTTAATTCGGGAGCTTCATATTTAAATTATTTAATTCGGGCCCGGGAATTAAATAATTTAAATAATTTAAGTAATTTAAATAATTTAAATAATTTAAATCCTGGAGGGGGGGGGGCGGGCCTCCTCCCGCAGGAGGAATTAAATAATTTAAATATGAAGGCCCCGAATTAAATATTAATATTTAATTCGGAGCCTTCATATTTAAATTATTTAATTCTTCCTGCGGGAGGAGGCCCGCCCCCCCCCCTCCAGGACTTAAAATATTTAAATTATTTAAATTATTTAGAATATTTAAATTATTTAAATTATTTAATTCCCGGGCCCGATTTAAATACTTTAAATATGAAGGCCACGATTTAAATATGAATATTTAATTCGGGAGCTTCATATTTAAATTATTTAATTCGGGCCCGGGAATTAAATAATTTAAATAATTTAAATAATTTAAATAATTTAAATAATTTAAATCCTGGAGGGGGGGGGCGGGCCTCCTCCCGCAGGAAGAATTAAATAATTTAAATATGAAGGCCCCGAATTAAATATGAATATTTAATTCGGGGCCTTCATATTTAAATTATTTAATTCCTCCGCGGGAGGAGGCCCGGCCCCCCCCCCTCCAGGATTTAAATTATTTAAATTATTTAAATTATTTAAATTATTTAAATTATTTAAATTATTTAAATTATTTAAATTATTTAAATTAATTAAATTATTTAAATTATTTAAATTATTTAAATTATTTAATTCCCGGGCCCGATTTAAATAATTTAAATATGAAGCTCCCGAATTAAATATTCATATTTAAATCGTGGCCTTCATATTTAAATTATTTAAATCGGGCCCGGGAATTAAATAATTTTAATAATTTAAATAATTTAAATAATTTAAATCCTGGAGGGGGCCTCCCGCAGGAAGAATTAAACAATTTAAATATGAAGGCTCCGAATTAAATATTAATATTTAATTCGGGGCCTTCATATTTAAATTATTTAATTCCTCCTGCGGGAGGAGGCCCGCCCCCCCCCCCCCTCCAGGATTTAAATTATTTAAATTATTTAAATTATTTAAATTTTTTAAATTATTTAAATTATTTAATTCCCGGGCCCGATTTAAATATTTTAAATATGAAGGCCACGATTTAAATATTCATATTTAATTCGGGAGCTTCATATTTAAATTATTTAAATCGGGCCCGGGAATTAAATAATTTAAATAATTTAAATAATTTAAATCATTTAAATAATTTAAATAATTTAAATAATTTAAATAATTTAAATAATTTAAATCCTGGAGGGGGGGGGGGGGCCGGGCCTCCTCCCGCAGGAGGAATTAAATAATTTAAATATGAAGGCCCCGAATTAAATATTCATATTTAAATCGAGGCCTTCATATTTAAATTATTTAATTCCTCCTGGGGGAGGAGGCCCCCCCCCCCTCCAGGATTTAAATTATTTAAATTATTTAAAATTATTGAAAATTTATTTAAATTATTTAAATTATTTAATTACCGGGCCCGATTTACATAATTTAAATATGAAGCTCCCGAATTAAATATTCATATTTAAATCGTGGCCTTCATATTTAAATTATTTAAATCGGGCCCGGGAATTAAATAGTTTAAATAATTTAAATAAATTTAAATCCGGGAGGGGGGGGGGCCGGGCCTCCTTTTGCAGGAGGAATTAAATAATTTAAATATGAAGGCCCCGAATTAAATATTCATATTTAAATCGAGGCCTTCATATTTAAATTATTTAATTCCTCCTGGGGGAGGAGGCCCCCCCCCCCTCCAGGATTTAAATTATTTAAATTATTTAAATTATTTAATTCCCGGGCCCGATTTAAATAATTTAAATATGAAGGCCACGGTTTAAATATGAATATTTAATTCGGGAGCTTCATATTTAAATTATTTAGTTCGGGCCCGGGAATTAAATAATTTAAATAATTTAAATAATTTAAATAATTTAAATCCTGGAGGGGGGGGGGGCCGGGCCTCCTTTTGCAGGAGGAATTAAATAATTTAAATATGAAGGCCCCGAATTAAATATTCATATTTAAATCGAGGCCTTCATATTTAAATTATTTAATTCCTCCTGGGGGAGGAGGCCCGCCCCCCCCCTCCAGGATTTAAATTATTTAAATTATTTAAATTATTTAATTCCCGGGCCCGATTTAAATAATTTAAATATGAAGGCCACGGTTTAAATATGAATATTTTATTCGGGAGCTTCATATTTAAATTATTTAATTCGGGCCCGGGAATTAAATAATTTAAATAATTTAAATAATTTAAATAATTTAAATAATTTAAATAATTTAAATCCGGGAGGGGGGGGGGGCCGGGCTTCCTCCCGCAGGAGGAATTAAATAATTTAAATATGAAGGCCCCGAATTAAATATTCATATTTAAATCGAGGCCTTCATATTTAAATTATTTAATTCCTCCTGGGGGAGGAGGCCCCCCCCCCCCTCCAGGATTTAAATTATTTAAATTATTTAAATTATTTAATTCCCGGGCCCGATTTAAATAATTTAAATATGAAGGCCACGATTTAAATATGAATATTTAATTCGGGAGCTTCATATTTAAATTTTGTAAATCGGGCCCGGTAATTAAATAACTTAAATAATTTAAATAATTTAAATAATTTAAATAATTTAAATCATTTAAATCCTGGAGGGGGAGGGCCCCCTCAATCAGCTTCATCATCATCATCCTCATCCTCATCCGCATCATCATCATCATCTTCATTATCGTCATCATCTTCATCATCTATCATCATCATCTTCATCATCTTCATCATCTTTTTTCATCATCCCCATCATCTCTCTCATCTCCACGGTTGTTTCAATATGTTTCATGTGCATCCTTGACATCAATGATCCCAATCAGCTTCATCATCATCTTCATCATCTTCATCATCTTCATCATCTTCATCATTTTCATCATCTTCATCATCTTCATCATCTTCATCATCTTCATCATCTTCATCATCTTCATCATCTTCATCATCTTCATCATCTTCATCATCTCCATCATCTTCATCATCTTCATGATCTGCTTCATCTGCTTCATCCTTCATCTGTTTCTTATGTTTCATTGCTTCTTGGGGCCCAGGAGGGCCTGGGGCAGGAGCAACTTTGCCGGTCAAAACTTGCCGGGATCCCCTTGGCACCCTGGAAAAGTGATGCAAATACCACACAAAACGGGAAAGGGTAGGAACAACTTTGTCGGTCAAAATTTGCCGGGATCCCCTTGGCACCCCGGAAAAGTCCTGCAAATACCACACAAAACGGGAAAGGGTAGGAACAACTTTGCCGGTCAAAATTTGCCGGGATCCCCTTGGCACCGGGAAAAGTCCTGCAAATACCACACAAAACGGGAAAGGGTAGGAACAACATTTGCCGGTCAAAATTTGCCGGGATTCCCTTGGCACCCCGGAAAAGTGATGCAAATACCACACAAAACGGGAACGGGTAGGAACAACTTTGCGGGTCAAAATTTGCCGGGATTCCCTTGGCACCCTAGAAAAGTCCTGCAAATACCACACAAAACGGGAAACGGGTAGGAACAACTTTGCCGGTCAAAATTTGCCGGGATTCCCTTGGCACCCTAGAAAAGTGATGCAAATACCACACAAAACGGGAAAGGGTAGGAACAACTTTGCCGGTCAAAATTTGCCGGGATCCCCTTCACACCCTGGAAAAGTGATGCAAATACCACACAAAACGGGAACGGGTAGGAACAACT